GGGGTGGTGGTCCCTCTTTTTAAGAAGGGGGACCGGAGGGTGTGTTCCAACTATAGGGGGATCACACTCCTCAGCCTCCCTGGGAAAGTCTCTGCCAGGGTACTGGAGAGGAGAATTCGACCGATAGTCGAACCTCGGATCCAGGAGGAACAATGCGGTTTTCGTCCTGGCCGTGGAACACTGGACCAGCTCTATACCCTCTTCAGGGTGGCGGAGGGTTCATGGGAGTTTCCCCAACCAGTCCACATGTGTTTTGTGGATCTGGAGAAGGCATTCGGCTGTGTCCATCACGGCACCCTGTGGGGGGTGCTTCGGGAGTACGAGGTCCAGGGCCCTTTGCTAAGGGCTGTCCGGTCCCTGTACGACCAGAGCAGGAGCTTGGTTCGCATTGCCGGCAGTAAGTCAGACTTGTTTCCGGTGCATGTTGGACTCTGGCAGGGCTGCTCTGTCACCGGTTCTGTTCATTATTTTTATGGACAGAATTTCTAGGTGCAGCCAGGGGCCAGAGGGATTCCGGTTTGGTGACCACAGGATCTCACCTCTGCTTTTTGCAGACAATGTGGTCCTGTTGGCTCCATCAAACCAGGACCTCCAACATGCACTGGGGCGGTTTGCAGCTGACTGTAAAGTGGCTGGGATGAGAATCAGCACCTCCAAGTCCGAGGCCATGTTCTCAGTCAAAAACGGGTGGCTTGTTCACTTCAGGTTGGTGGAGAGTTCCTGCCTCAAGTGGAGGAGTTTAAGTATCTCGAGTTCTTGTTCACGAGTGAGGGAAGGATGGAACGGGAGATTGACAGGCGGATCGGTGCAGCCTCTGCAGCAATGCGGTCGATGTACCGATCCGTCGTGGTGAAGAAGGAGCTGAGCTGTAAGGCGAAGCTCTCGATTTACTGGTCAATCTACGTTCCGACTCTCACCTATGGTCATGAACTTTGGGTCATGACCGAAAGGGCAAGATCCCGGATACAGGCGGCCAAAATGAGCTTTCTCCGCAGGGCAGCCGGGCGCACCCTAAGAGAGGGTGAGGAGCTCGGTCACCCGGGAGGAGCTCAGAGTAGAACCGCTGCTCCTCCACATCGAGAGGAGCCAGCTGAGGTGGCTCGGGCATCTGTTTCGGATGCCTCCTGGGCGCCTTCCTAGGAAGGTGTTCCAGGCATGTCCCACCGGGAGGAGGCCCCGGGGAAGACCCAGGACACGCTGGAGGGACTATGTCTCTCGGCTGGCCTGGGAACGCCTCGGACTCAACAGACTCAAACAGCACTGATTCATGGGAAGAAAACTCAAAATAAAACATGATTGGTACAAGAACTGACCTCCTCCTGTGGGTGGAGTCCAGGGCGAAGGGGGTGGAGTTTATGGCTCTGAAAGAGAGGTCATTAAAAAGGTGCAGAGGTCAAACAAAATCTGCTCAACTCAACACAGCAAATACACTTTCACTGTAATCAGCGCAGCTGCTGACATAAGTAGAGTTATTAATACAACACTTCTCTAACTAAAGCACTTCACATTAAAAGCATCCAAGTCACAGCAGAACAGCAACAAACTGAACTAATTTTACACGACAGCAAACATCATGTTGAAACAGCCAGGGTGTTTAACTGACTTTTGTTAAACCAGATAATCAACAGAGAGCTTCAGTGTTCCCAAAAAAATGATGAGCATCCCTCAGCTGATCTATGTGGATGCAGAAAAGCACTCAACTGCGTGAGGGGGCGTGTTCAGTGTGCTCAGGTCAGTGTTCCCACTAGGACAGTCAAGACTGCCCAGATCTACTGTAGAAGAAGAAGCTTTATTCATTGTGACAACGAAATTAAGTTTGGAACTGAGGGCCCCAGGCCACTGCATGCTTACGCACCGCCATCCGCCATCACGGGCAACGGGGCAACATGTGGGCTGCAGACACCAAGATTCGAACTTTCATCCTTCCAGTTGGGAAACAAAAGCTCTACCCAACGCACCACTGTCGCCTCCCTGTAATTTTCATGTCATTTCATAAATGTTTGCTGCACAGACTAGCAAGTATTCTTCCCGGGCCTTAACGCTCAGCTCTGACCTTGTTGTGTTTCTGCTTCACATCTGTGTGTGTCAGTGCTGTGCACTCAGCTCTGGTGTGAACACCGTTGAGCTCCTAAACTGCCACACATGCACAGATTGAACTGAAATGTGAGCCACGTGCGCACAAGAATTAACAACCAGGTGCTCTTAAGACAGACCGATCACAGGTGAGCAGCGCTCATGAACACATCCTGCATGGCAGTGGCACTGCTGAGGCCTGGGCGATGCCCGGTGAGGGTACCTGTGGGTTCTGCCTGGCCAGCTCTTCTATCTTGTGCCAGACCTCCTCCCTCTCCTTCAGCTTGTACTTCTCTCTGCAGGAAACATACAAGAGTTCATGAATGGAAGTAATTTGACACATGAATGTTTACGTTCATTGACACTGATGTTTCAAAAAGCTGCTCTTTGAGAGCAGACATTTTTATCTGGAGTCAGTTTGTGCAGTATGAACACAGATTGGGTGAACGTGCTGCTGGCTCTGTGTGTATTACTTCTGTTTCTCAGCCTTGTACTGCTGTGTGCAGTCATCAAACAGCTTCTGGTTCATCTCCATGAAGAGCTTCAGAGCATTTGTGTGTGTGAGACTGTTTTTTTGCCGGGTTCAGCATCACCAGGGCGTGAGGCTGAACCATCTGACAATCTCCTATTATTGTTTTGCACTACTGTCACTGATTGTACTCGGTTTTGAGTCACATCTTATTGGCTGTACCATTTAGATTTATCCTAATTATGTTAATCCAGTTCTTATTCTTTTCTAATCTATTCTATTTGTATTCTACTTTATTCTATTTTAGTTCCTAAATGTTATAGCACCCAATACTAGGCGAGAGAGAAACGGTATTTCGATTTTCTGTATGTCCTGCACATATGTTGAATTGACAATAAAATCCTTGAACCTTGAACCTTGAACAGGAGGTGGGGGCAGAGGGGAAGCATGCAGTAATGTGCATATGTCTCCTTTCTGTTGTCTTAGTAAACATTAAAATTCAAATTTTATTTGTGTAGCACCAAATCACAACAAAAGTCATCTCAGGACACTTTACAAAGTAAGGTCTGAAACCTCTGACAGACCCCAGCTCTTGGTGGGCGGCCTTCTGCCTTGATCGGTTAGGGTGAGTGGATAGTGGAGAGAGAAAAGAAAAGAAAAGCAACAAGACACAACAAACACAACAACAAACAATCAAGCACTAGGCAGGTTGATGTGGCCGGTGACTGCTCATCAGAAACGTAGATCCCCAGAGCCAGGGCTACCTGCATAAAGGTACAAGGAGAGAGAGAGGACACACTACAGGAGAGAGGAGACACACAGTTAGTGACACGTAATGGTGGCATAAAAATGGATGGAGCAAGGTGAGAGGAGAGGCGAGGGGAGGAGAGGGGATGCACTCTTTGAGGAGTAAAGTTGAGGAGCTACAAGCTGGTGTCTCACATCTTTGAAAAGACAAGAACATCTGCTTATAAGCATTTACAGAGAACTGGCTCACTTGTGTGGATATGAACACAGCTCCAGAGATCAGCAGGGTTAGAGCACTTCTCTGTTTGGATCAGGACTGATAGGAGGAGTACCTGTACATTAACCAACACTGGTGTGCAAATGCCACAATTTTTCTCAGACTTTGTAATCTCTACTTATGAAATTACAATGTTTCACAATTAATACACCTTGAATATTCGTTTGTCTAGCTTTAGGGAAACTGATGCAATGTAGTAAAACAAACAAACAAAAAAACGGAAGCTAAACCTGTCAGCAATAATGCAAAGGCAGCTTCACAGGGCATAAAAATGACAAGTTCAGATAATGTAAATAACTCATAGGTCACCCTTAATGGTTCTTTTCTGATTTGCCATGACTTACCATTGTCAGCACATCATCTTTACTCTAAAACATTCACATTTTTGTTCATTTTCCCCCATTGTATCTCTTTTAACACATGTAATAAATTTGCTATTTTGGCATCTGAGGAACCTCTTTCACCTTTGTAGGTGTGCACACAATTTTCCCATATTTAAGACATGCTGACTTGGGCTCATGCCTGACATTATCTTTTGAAAGACCAGTCATTAGAAGCATGAACCTGCCACATTTTTTGATTTTATCTGGTGAAAAAGTGCCCAGCAAAATGACTGCAGTTGGCCAGGTGCAGCTCTTTCATATGCATAATAAGCATGTTCTCAGGTAGCCTGAGACTGTTCTGGCTCATTCAGCTTATCCTTTGTTCAGGGAGTTTGAGCTGTTTCCATCTGGTTGCCACTTTAGGGCTCTAACTGCAAGGAGTGAGAGGACTAAATCTCCCTTTGTTTCAGTGGCTGTAGAAATGTTAACTGTTGTCACAATGTTCCTTAATGAGTCAGAATTTTATTGAACATTCTTGTTTGAATTTTGTGCCTAAAATACCCTATGTGATCAAAAGTGATGTAATGTTGTTATCAGCTGTATTATTTTAATTATCATAGACTTGGTTACCAATCTGACATGATGCCAATTTTTTTCCCTCACAATCTTAATAATATTATGAAAAACAGTGGCTTTAATGTACTCATGCATTGCCAATGCAAATTTTTCTAATCTATTGGGTTCATCAGTGGAAATGCAGCATCGAAAAACAACATGTTTCATTTCAAATAAATTTCAAACTCATTCAAGTGTTGTATACAGCCCATTAACTGTGAATGTGGTCTACATCTGACCTTACTAGGGGGCATTTAGGATCTGAGTTGAAAGGTTAAAGTGTACTAGTCTGCTGAATGGAGGCTGATTGATTGTCTGTTGCTCTTCCATCTCTCAGAGAAAGATGGAGTTGTCCTTCTGGGACACTCATGACCTGACCTTTGGATCTGTGCTTTCTCTCAGGTTTAATATACACTACTCAGAGGGGATAAAATGTTCATCATACCTGCTCACTAATACAGGTCATGCTCATCTAGGATAATCATCTGATACTGTACATTTAACTTATCCATAATTTCATTGCCCTTCCTCTTGTCATTGATCAGAGTCCAGAGAGTGTAGGTTTAAGTACAAATAATATGTAACTATAATTGGCTCTTCAGTAAACTGAGGCTAATGTAACTGAAAGAACCCGGCTGTCAGGTGTGAGAAGAATGAAAATGAGGTGATAATTGACTTTCACTGTTTTGCACATTAGTGTCACACATAACTGTGCTTTTCCCCATAATTACCGAGAAGACTAGAAGAGAAAACTGAAACATATGAGGCATGGATGGGAAGAGTTTATGAGTTTGTATTTTTGAATGTGTGTGTGAGTATGTGCATGCCTGTGTGGTGGTGTGCATGTATGAGATTAAATGTTAAAGTAGACTCAAGTAAATAACAGATAATAAATAAATAACAGAGGGCCTGTCATATGTAATCTCCTGTTTTGTGTGTTGACATGGGAAGAAAATATGGCTTCTGTGACAGGAGCAGTGACTAAGGCTCTTTGAACTGCATCTTTTTCCAAGTCTCTTTTTTAAAACTATCTCTTACTCATCAATAACAATGCAGGCACATGCATACAGTAAACATACTTAAAGTTTAAACAGATATAAAGTTCTCCAGGCATCCAGCCTGACTTTATTTCATGTGGGAGGCCCATTTGTATCTGTGCTGAATAAACACCCACAGAAATACCTGGGTCTTTCTTAAAGGAAAGTAAACTGTAACATGCCTCTGACTCTGAATAAGCTACTTTCTACTGATCTTCTTGAAGCCATGGTGTGTGGGTTTCTGAGGAGCTGTGTTGCTCACAGCAGCACCAACCTTCCTTAGGGCTATATAAATGTAATGATAAGAAAAGGAAGGATTGAGGAAAATAGCATCATTAAGAAAAAAACAAGCTTTATTATGTCTATTTAAAACATATTTAATCTTGGTAAAATGCTTGTGTACTTTTATGAATGGGCCAAAATTAAGTGAAAGTGTGTGGGTGGCTTTTTTGCAGGGTGGGGTCTAGGTTGCAGGTTCTTTTGGCCTGCATGGTGATACTGTTGGTTAAATATAACCCAGCTGGAAGGAACTACCTGCCTCCCCCATCTCTTCCTCTCTGTCTGTGAGAACACATTGTCCCTTATACATCTTTTGCCAGCCCTGATGACAACCAGAAATGTGTGCATGCACTCATGCAAGTGTGTATTTATGCATGCATGACTCTTCTGCTTCTTTTATCAGCAACACAAATTTTTGTCAAACTCTTTGCATGTGGGCATTGTTTATTATCTTACTCCACACATTTCACCCACCAGCTGCGTTGCTGTGACAGTGTGTTTTTGTGTTCTGTGCACGTGCATGCTAACTACTGTATGTGTTGCCATAGGCATTGGCAGATCCTTGAGGGATTTACCAGAGCCTGAGATGTGACTGTCACAACTGAGACAACACCACATTCAAAGCAATGGTGGTGTCAGCATGATACATATGCATGAAAGTGTTTGTTGGCACATGCTTTCACATATATGTTTGCTTGAATGTCCTCTCTGTAGTGTGTGTATTTATGCAGATCAGTTTTACTTGACATATTCATGCCTCAGGGGTCCAGTCCAAGCTTATGTTTTAAGGAAACAACATTTACTATTCAGTCTAGTAGAAAGAACCTATGGTGAAGAGGGCTAAGTGGGAGCAAGCTGATCGCCAGTGGCTTCCACTGCATTTGACTTTTACGTAATGGCCAGCAGTGTTGTCCTGGCGTGGATATTTGCTTAATGTACAGAGGAGAGCAGGATTGCTGAGCTCACCCATTTCAATTTTAATGGCGTCCTTCTAGAGGTTAATTCAAATAAGATGCGGTAAAGGAGCGCATACAATTTGACATATTAAGAGAGAAATAGTGGTGTTGGGAGGATCTATGGGGTGGAAAGGTTTATCTTCCCATAAACACACAGACACATTTGTTTGTTTGAAGTTTACTTATTAGTAAAGTTATATGTGATAGTGGATAGCTTTGTAACACAGTAATCCCTGATGGACATGCTTATTTGATAGGAAATTATTACCTTTGCTCCAGTGTGATGCTTCTATGGTTATAGCAGGGGTGGCCAATTCCAGTCCTCGAGGGCCACTGTGCTGCTTGTTTTCCAACTATCCCTGCCTGACCTGCTACTGATTACCTGGCTCAGGTGTGTTCAGTCAGTCAGAAGCTGGAAGATACCAATTCACTTTATCTTTCCTCACTCCACTTTCATCTAAGATGGTATCTTCCAGCTTCTGACTGACTGAACACACCTGAGCCAGGTAATAAGCAGCAGGTCAAGCAGGGATAGTTGAAAAACAAGCAGGACAGCGCCCCTCAAGGACTGGAATTGGGTGGATAAAGATGCTAAAAAAGATGGAGTCAAGCAAGAAGTTCCAAATTGCTAGGATTGTTTGTGTTTTTATAGTAATATGTGAATGTGATGTTGGAATTATGTCTGATATGGGGAAATTTCCACCCATTGATTAGTGATTGTTGTCAGTGTAATTGTATCTCAGCAGAGGAGTTAGATGCAGATATGGTACATTATACTCAGCCAGGGTAAAGGGATTACACTCATACATGTGACAGCTGATACCTTCATATGTACAGCTGACTCACTTCA